TATACACATTGGTATGTACTGAAACATCGTTTAAAGTAGTAAAAAAGACCATTACCCAAATGTCCTTATTAGTGATATATTTGAATACAGTATATAAAGTATTTTAAACCAACTATTAAACAGTTGCTTTAAAAAAAAAAAAGATCAGCTATTGAAAGGGGATTTATTCTAGATTGCCAAGGTTTTTTAAAACACAAATTTCTGGGCTGTGGTTGTGGCTCAGTGGTAGAGCGCTCACTTGGCACATGTGAGGCACTGGGTTCAATTCTCAGCACCACATAAAAATTAACAAATAAAATAAAGGTATTGTGTTCATTTACCACTAAAAAATTATTAAAAAAAAACAAGTTTCTAAAATGAAGCATACAGAGTAGGATCCTATGTTTTAAAAGAAATAGAAAATCATATGTGCAAGTGTATATACATGTATAGATGTGTGTGCCTCTGTGTGTGCACGTATATTAACTTACATTTAATAGCAAAAAGGAAAACATGGAAATAAATACAAAGCAATCAGCAATAGTCACTTTGGGAAAAGAAGGAAAAAAGTTCTATATAAACCTCCATAGTGTTTTCTCACTACTGGAGAAACAATTCTTTTGTCATTTCTAATTTTAGCCAATCAAGTAAAATAAGGAGGGAAATTGATGAGATTTTTTAGGAAGCAAGAAACCAATTATTAATCATGGAATTAAACACTACTCAAAGAACAGCACACACAGAACAGTTTTCCACAATGAGTCATTTTCACTTCAAAAGAACTGATGAACAACATGAAATCAATAAAAGAAGACATCTGAGATGAAGATAAGACAACAGAATCAAGGGAGAAAGGAGAGCAAAGTTAAAAAGACAAACTACGGATTAAAAATACCGCAGAAATAATAATAAAGTTGAAATAGCACAAAACAATGTAGGGATATATTGGGCCAAAATTGAATTGGAGACCCAAAGGATGCAGAAAATTAAGACAAAGAGGTTATTAATCTCTTAGAAGAAAGTTAATAGATATATCAGGCAGATAATAATGATCTGGTGAAAGAAAATCAATCATTCTTCTTTCCAGGGAAATCGTATATTCTGTCCTTTAATGGGATAGTGAAAAATAGTTCATTTTTTCTATAATACAAGAAAATTTTCAGAAAAAAATAGACCTGCCCATTAAATGAGCTCATTGTGTTTGAGAAGGTACAAATAATTATTAAGCAAAATTGTCAAAATTGAAACATATTCTGGAAATTTTCTAAATTTCCAAATGAATTATCCATTCAACAGAAATAGAGTCAAAGGAGAGGGGGGGGAAGGGGAAAGAAGGAAGGAAGGAGAAAAAGTAGGATCAAGGAAGAGACAGGAGGAAGGAGAGAGCAAAACTAGGATAGGGCTAGTACAGTGGAGGAGGAAGTCTGACAATCAGAATTGAACGTGAGTTGTTTCCACCGTTGTTAATCCTTCTTTTGAGATAGCTTTCCAAAACTGCTTCAAGAACACAAGTTACAAAGCTTATGATACTTTCCAGAAATATTAGTTAGGCATTTGTATTTTAATTTTGAATAAAGCTTTATATTACAGGAGGGGTAATCTAATGGGGGAAAAAGCAGAAAACAGAAAGTTAATGGAGTAACTTTAAGGGGTCTGAGAAGTCCGAAATCATACCAGGCAGAGAGCTCATAGCAATCCTTCTCCAAAGAAAAAAACAATGATAAAACTTTTTCTTTAATGTACTCTGTCCTTTCTTATTCTTCTGGTTTTTGAGATCTGATCTAAAAGTTGCAAAGGCGAAGATAGACTTTTTATCCCTGATTTGACAAGGTTTGACAAGACCCTGAAAATTAAATATCTTCTTAAAACAAATAAAAATGAAGAAATACCCGTGGCTGATACTAATTGTCTATTAAATTTCTGCATTGTACTGGGCACGGTGGCAGAGGCCTGTAATCACAGCAGCTCAGGAGGCTAAGACAGGAGGATCATGAGTTCAAAGCCAGCCTCAGCAAAAGCAAGGCGCTAAGCAACTCAGTGAGACCCTGTCTCTAAATACAATACAAAATAGGGCTGGGGATATGGCTCAGTGGTCAAGTGTTCCTGACTTCAATCCCTGGTTAAAAAAAAAAATCCTGCATTGTTTGACATACCCGAATACTTGATTTTCGCAGTCTGTGTCACAGGTTACTTGATGTCATAAATTAATATAAATGCTATGCCACACTTAACTGTGGAACACTCACCAAGGTTAGCCTGGCTGGCACTAGAGCTAGAGACTCAAAAGAGTTAAAATCATGAGTCCAGAACTTGTCATAAAAGCCTCAGGAAGCAAAGAATTCCATTTTCAAGTACAATTAAGGAGCAGAGAAGTTTGTCTAAACCTATGAGGAAAATAAGCACTAAGAGGATTTAGCCAAAAAAAGAAGTCATGGGGGTTTCCATAACAAGTACAGACTGGCAAATGTTGCCTTAATTCTTTTCTGTAATCCAGTAGAAATATAAATAGATTATTTCATTAATTTTTTATAAATCAAATATCATCAGCCAGAAGTTAGAGGTAACTGAATCAAATTTTGCCTTACACATAATTTTATGATCTGAACAATATGATTACTGCAAACATATTTCAGGGTAATAAAACGATTTTGAAGAATACTAAATGTCATCAGTGCACATTAAAAACCAACACCTTTCTAGCAAATGAGGTATATTTAAAGTTGAACTTAAACTAGTAATATCAAACAAGAAATAATGGAAAGCCATTGATCTGAACAGAGTAATGATTTTCTAGATCAGAGCACAACTGTTTAAGGGCAGTGAAAGTAATTCCAGGTCATGTCTTGATCTTAAAAATATTTGTTGTCTGTGATATTGGATTTTGCATTTGACTCCAAAAGGTCAGAGGAATAGCAAGAGAACTACAGTTCCAGTTTATCCATAAATCATTTTGCATTCATGAAGGTACTACTTCAGCCGAGAGCACTTCCTAGAAACCAGATTGAAAATGTCTGAATTGAGTAGGTTCCAGATGGGCAGTGATCTGCACAGTGACCACACATTTCAAAACTTTGAAAATGTGCGTGCATGTGTGTGTGTGTGTGTGTGTGTGTGTGTATCCGATGAGACTAAGACACTTTTTCAAAGTCTGCATCTTTATAGTTTCAGAACAAAGACTCTGATCAGCAATGCATGGCTTTATGATATTGAACTAATAAAAAACTTTACAACTCATCAAAAATGTTTTAATAGAGATGGAGTGAAATAATGCATTATTTTTATTATTACCTACTTTCTGTAAATTCTATATATAGCTCAAATACCCCCTGATATAATAATATGGTAATCTTTTTCCGTAGAGTATGTTAAAACACACACACACATACACACACAATTTAGGAGTTTATAAGTCCTGTAGTCATACCTAGACTTTGTCACTAACAATAACAGCATGTTCTTTATAATCTCAACACCCAAATTTCCCCTGTTTGATCACCACCTTGGCACTTTCTAGCTTGCTTTCTCTGACACTCCAACCCAAATAATCCCTAGACATCACAAAAACCTCCCATCTATTATCCATTGACTTGAATACTCCCTAAATCCTACTTCCCTTCTTTATCATGTTGCAATTCCACCATCAATTGTCATAATCACAATGTTGCATATATCTTCCATGATCTTACCCACTCACCCCCTTCTCTCTTTCTGGCAAAAACTACATACAATCCATCTCTCTGCCTACTCTCTCATTTGCACTTTATTGGGTGAAATCAAAGTAAAGAAAATCAGGTTCACTGGACTTCCTTAAATTTTATACTCATGACAATGAACCAAGCCTGGCGCAGGGGCTACCCTTGGGGTATATATTTGTCTTTGTTGAGCAGAACTCTTGTTTCCTGGTGCCATGTCCCCTAGTTGCTTTTCTCAGCCACACACTTCCTCCATGATAGACCCTGAGGAATAGAGTTGGCCTTCTGTGAACTGAGATCTCTGAAATTGTCAGCCCCAAAATAAACTCTTTCTCCTTAAAATTGTTCTTGTCAGGTCTTTTGGTCATAGCAAGAAAAATGTCACTAAAACAGGGACCTTCATGGGTTCCTCTGCCTTCAGGCTTCAGTGTGCTTTCCAAGATACCCACATGGCTAATTTCCACACCTTCTTCCAGTCTTTTTTTCTTTCCCACCTTCACATGTTTCCTTACAACCCTATGTGGTTAGATAAACTGCAACGCCCCTACCACAACCCCTGAATTTCTGATGGCCTTCCTTACCCTATTCTGTTCTATAAGTTTTCTGTAGGACTTTTCATCTTCCACAGCGCCATTTAATTTAATTACTGAGTACTTTTACTTGTTTGCTATATGTCTACACTCACTAAAAAAGTAAGCTCCTTAAAGGCAGAAAGCACTATCTGAAAGTTTTCTTGTAATTTCCAAAGTTCCTAGAATAGTGCTCAAGGGCAGAGGAGGCACTCAACTAGTAATTCAAATAAATGAATTCTCATTTCTATAAGGGAACTGAGATTAGCTCATAATTCTTTTTCTTTTCTATTGTTACTTATATTCTTTTTTTCTTTCTGGTGTCTTCTTTCAGAAAACTTCTACTCTATAAGTTAGATATTCATTTTATGACCTAATATATTAATCATTGTAATATATTAGAAACATAAATATATCTGAAAATACAGCATATAATACACACCCCCACATCCCATCCCTGCCAAATTGTTCACACCCTAATTACCAGACTTATCAGCAGTAGATATGTTATCTTTGATGACAAAAAGGACTTTGCAAATGTGATATCTAAGATAAGGAGATCACCCTGAAATGGCCTGGCAGACCCAATCTAATCACATGGAATCTTAGAAGAGAAACTTTACTGGTTTCAGAACAAAGGAAAGAAAGCTACTGGGTTCAATTCTCAGCACCACGTATATAAATAAAATAAAGGTCCATCAACAACTAAAAAAAAAAAAAGAAAGAAAGAAAGATACAGCAAGAGAGAGGCAGGAAAAATGAGGCACAGTGCTTGTTTCTGCAGCACTGGAACAATATAGAGAGGATTAGCAATGGCCCCTAGGCAAGAATGGCATGCAAATTCATGAAGCATTCCATATTTTTAATGGCCAAATTATATTGCTATATTTTGTGCATGTACAAATATGCAAAAATAAATCCCATCACAACTATAACACACCAATAAAAATTATGTGGAAAAAAAAGAAGTTCAAACAAAATAAGGCACAAGCAGATTCAACCCACTGTCCTTCAAATGACTTTGAAGATTTAAGCTAATAATGGGCTCGCCAGCAGAAAAACAGACTGCATTCCTATAACCAGCTTGAACTCACAAAAGCCTAACTGAGTCTGGGAGCAGAACCTCAAACTTTCAGCATTGTAGCAACCACAGCAGAGAAATTAGCTGGGCCCACTGGATTTCTCACCCAGAGACAGTGTTTTCGGCCATGCTTTACATAAGGTCGTTTGTTAATGGCCATAATAGGTAACACAAAGCCCAAATGTAAAAGGCTTCTGAGCTATTATGTTCTGCGTCATTTGTTAGTGATTCTCAGAAACCAAATTGCATCCTAGTGTGGACAAATGGACAGTTAGGAAGTAGCCTCTAATGACCCATCCAGAGAGGAATGCCAAGTCCATATCTCCTCTGCCTGTGTGCCCTTCGTATCATTAGTAAGTGTAATGTTGGGTAAGACTGACATTACCTGCATTGCAAGTCGACCCTATGTGGTAGACAAGGGTGCATGGGTGGATTGGCTGTTTGAATGGCAAAAGTTACTATGATGGTGCTGTTACCATCAGGAGTTAGGATTGGATTCGTGTTCTACAAAGTCAAAGAATGAACAGCATGAACTCTGCCAAAGTCAGCAAGCAAGCAAGAATTTTATTAAAAAGGAAAGTGAAGGAAAGACTCAGAATTCCCTGTGCAGTGCACTGGGTAGGGGTAGGAGTGCCTCGTAATCTTACAGGTCTCCTTGTTTTAAAGGCACATGAGGAAAAATTGTAAGTTCTTATGGATTGGGTTTTGATATTTCAATTGTCCCTCAGAGAACAGGGGCCAGATTATGGATTATGTGGTCGCTTTTGGCCAGATGGAGATTTACACCCTAAGAAACAGAAACTGTCTCATAACATATCAGGGCCTGTTAAAATGGCTGACCTCATGCTTGCCCTCCTATTGACATTCACCCTTCCTTCCCTATTCTCCACTGCCTATCCTTTCCATCTCACTGCTATCAATATAGTACAGGCAGACATATAAATCATTATAATGCTTCTGAAAGCATATTGATGTCTTAAAAGACTTTCAAAAGTTTATGCCACTTTACTCAGAAATTCTTCTTTTATGAATATCCTTTCAAGTAGATTTGTAAAGAACTCTACAAACAATTGAGGAATGGCCCAAACTCTGTATGGGCCATTCCTCAAAGCATTCGTTATGTTATTAAACATCCAAAAAAACAACATTTTATCAAACAAGAATAGCTTAATGCTTTTGCAGTCATATGAGGGGTTATTATATAATCACTGAAAAAGTAGGTTACCAAAGAGTTGCTTAAAACAGACCAATACTGATAATATAATATTGAGTTATTATTGGATCATTTACAATGATGTATAATTTTAAAATACATTTGTTTAGCTGTAAACATATATACATGAAATAGGAATCCCTGAATGGGAAGTCTTCCATCTGCCTTCCAGATTTGGCTATAGTTGAGAAGACATCTCATGTCAGAGGAACAGCTAAAAGCAAAAGCTTCAAAGTTAAAACCATTGTCACCTGTTATCACCTTAAAATAAATATACTTTTCTCAGAAAATGAACCCTCTCCTCCCAGCCCCAAACATTTTCTTTTCTTCATGTCTCTTATTTCCCTCTGTCTCTCTTTTATAAGAACACTTAGTAGCCACCTGTATAAATCCAGAATAATCTCCACATTTCAAAATCCTTAACTTAATTGTATCTGTAAAGACCCTATGATCATTTGCAGGCTTCAGAAATGAAGACATGATACATTTGGAGGCCGTACATACAACAGTAGGAGGAGTACTGTTTTCAGGTCTTCAGATACCCCCTGGAGTCCATGACTTAATATGACTTAGATTTCTTCTTTATCACAAGTTCCTTCCTGCCTCAGAGATCCTTAACATAAGGAGCAACAGGACAGACTACCAATTCCTACAGGGCTATGTTTATCCAGGACTCCCAACTTAAGGTAATTGAAATAGATGTTCATTCCAAGCACAGGAATTGTACATTTACATCTCTTTATGCAGGCTTGTCAAATAAGTCCATTTGATGGCGTGTTCAAGTGTAGGAAAATCTGAACTGTTGGATCCTTGAGAGAGGATCACCCAGGGATCTTTATGCAATGCAGCACTACAAAGCTGAACAGAGAGCTTGAAGTACCTCTCTGTGCCTGGCGGAGCTAAGCTGATTCCTCTGAGATCTGTTTTCACAGTGTTAAAGCAGCACCTACCCCACTGTGCTCCACAGTGGGCTGCGCTGTACCCTTTTATCTCACAACCTCTGAAGTCTCAGGCTAAGACTTTTCTCAGTCTGTTTAACTGCTTTGTCGTTTTCTTATATTTCTTTAACACATCAATATTTCCTGTTTCCTTGGGTCATGTTACCTCTCTGGCACGTGGCTGAGAAGTAGAGCCAGGGCCCCTTTCCCCTAGAGATACCAAAATTTGTTCTCTGATCATTTGTCTTCCTCGCAAACCAAGGGAATTTTTATATGCCTTCCTTCTCTCTTGATTAATCTACCTCTCAAAGGGCTCTCTCGTACCTGATGATTCTCTCAGAGATGTTTTCTTTTTTGATATTTCCTTCAGATCTTTCCAGTCTAAACTCTTTAAAGGATTTAGCCTTTGGGAACTAAGTCCAGACAGGCTCTTTTCACCTGGTTTTTCTCCATACCATATCTCTTCTTAGTCAATAAACAACGAGCAGACTACCTGCTTGAATTGGGGGAAGGAAAACAAGATACTATGGACAAAGAAAGTTTGTAAGTAGTTCAAAAACATTTCCCTTTGAAGACTGAACTTACCATTATTTATTGCTAGTGTCATTATGTTGTTTAACACTTAAAGAGAAGTGGCATAGTATTGGGAGGAAAAAAAACAAACTCCAAGAAAAGAAGAAAAGCTTTATCTCAACAAAATACACACTTCGAACTCACAATTCCACACCATGAAAAAGAAAGGAAAGTACACAGGCATTGTGTATTCAAGTTAGCCAGACACCACTGAAAGATTAAATATTAGAAACATAAAGGATCTAATATGTAGGACTTTGGGTCAATACCATACTACATGGTAAGCAAAAGAGAGAATCCAAGTCACTCTCTGTTTTTTGTGTTTTGGTATTTATTTTCTTTAAGGTTTTTTCTTTAGCCAGGAGGTTAAAAAATGTCACCAGCTCCTTAGAGATTTGTAACACGAAAATAACATCTTATTCCTGCACACAACCTTCACACATACATTTTAAGTTATCTATTATTTTTTTTAAAGAAGTAAAAGATTCAGTCATTGAGACTCCAGGAAGTCTCAAAGTAAGAAAATAAATAAATAAATAGGCCCTCAAGATAGTTATATGATATGTCAACTCAAAACACAGACATACTAAAAACATTTTATCAAATTACTTTCACATATAAGGTGTTTCTGAAACACAATTGCATTTACTACTTAGACTTGGCTCTCATTTTCAAGATATCTCATTATGCATATGCAAATATTCCAAATTCTGAAAAAAAATACAAAATTGGAAATATTTTTGGTCTCAAGTATTGCAGAAGATGGTTACTCAGCCTGCATATACACTCTGTTTGGTACTGCAGGTATATCCTTTTTATAGTTATTGCAAATCTTCATTTTTACTCTGCTGAGACAATCAGGATTCCCTGTTTAACTTTTAGAGTTAAAACAAGATATTGGCTAGTCTGAGTAAAATCCTGTCTCAATATTCTTTATGCCTCCCAGCCCCTTAACTAGTCTATTTTGGATGTGGTGTCAGTCCAAATCAATAGAACAACTAAAAATTTAAAAGCGTGTTTACCTCCTTTCATTAATGTGAATCTTTTGTCAAAGGTCAAATTTGATTGAAATGAGGAAAGACCAACATAAGAGAACAGTGGGGATTAGGTGAAGATTTAGTCCCGGTGTTTCTCCTCTGTTGCTCAGCCAGGGCACTTATTCTGCTTCCAATTTAAAAGTAGTAAATCTCTAGATAATCTTTTGAATGGCTTCCAGTCACTGAAATATATTTTATAGCTTACATAGAAGTGTAACACTGATTATAAGTAAGATTTGCGAAACATCGGGTAGCATTAGATTCTCAAATTGAAAATGAAGATTCACAGTCCAACGAGGCTGTCTGAGATAGCCGTAAGCCAAATCAGCTGATTCAACTCAAGGCTCATCTGACACGGATTTATAGACAGAGAGCTAACTCGGGAGAACTTTCACAGTCTATACAGCAACCCACTCATCTTTCAACAGCTTTAACTAATACCCTGGCCACTACAACTCTGTGGAAGCAAGCCCATATGAGAATGAAATATTCCAATATTGATAATAATGTTATTAATAATACCATTATTTTCTTAACACTTGCTCTATACTAAGCATATACTAACTAAACACTCCTTTATTTAACAATTATTAATCAAGATTTGAAAAAAATGAGCATAGAGTTGGATTCCACAGCTAGTTTCCCTCAGTCTATGACCTTGGCCCTCATAAATTCCCATCTGTAAAATGGGACAAAAATATTCTTACTTTTCAAGCTATGAAATAAATGTGTTTATATACATAATGCCATTGGAATAGAGCCTCTCATAGAGTAAGTTCTCAGTAAGTCTAGCTGTTATTGTGCCTAACATTGTGTTCCACACATGATTACTAGGCCCTGGGAATATAATGGTGAAAAAGTTGTTCACATTTCCTTATCTCACTGAAGCTTATATGCTTTTGTTGGGGATGTGGGGGGGGGATCACAAATAAGAAAACAATAAATTTTAAAGCATAACTTTATATTATGATAAAGAAAATAAACATGTGATTCAAGAAGGGAGAGAAGAAGACCAGTAAGAA